AATAGCAATGGTAATGCGAAAGTTAACGGGCCATAGTACTGTTAATGACCATTCACCCTTGGCCTGTGGCAACGCTAATGGTAATGGTGTTGGTAACGCCATTCACCCTGTAAGCTGTGGGAGCTCGACACCTCCCAAGATCCAGTGAACTAGGCAGACTACTACTCACGAGCAGGCAACGAGCACCTACCAACAACCACGAGGTCTCGCCCTCAAGGTCTGAAGGCCTTGAACACGCAAAGTCCTAAAACAAGCATTTTCGAGGACACTGGAAAACATACACCCATATATAACGTCCTTTTTCTGTTTCGGAAAACCCACCCTGTGTTGATGAAGAAGGGCGCAAAAAATGAAGCCAAAGGCACTTCGAGCTTGCAGCCATAGGGCAAGTCGGTGTGATTGAGATGATGCACCAACCAACACCAGAGAAGATTCACGGATAGGTTCTGCGAGTTTGTAAAGGGAGCATAAAGCTTAACCATGCCATTCCGTCCTTGTGTGTGCGCGGGAGTGCTCAGAGACGAAGGCGGCAACTTGTGATCGTATTGGATCCCTGACGAGAGGCAATAGAGATTGCCGAACTTGAGCCGACTCGTTGAGTTGGGGCCGCGCGATTCTTGGGACTTGCTCTTCAGTGGGTGCCCGCTGTGCCCTTGTACTGCGGCGACAGAAGATGGCCAAACTTGAAGATCAGAACAGGTCGGGAACTCGCCTGAGTGATCGCGTCGCGGAACTTTGCGCTGCCAGGGGTCTTGCGCTCAGGGCCAAGACGACCCATCCTGGCCGACGGCCGAAAAGGGCTTGCAAGCAGAAAGGGAAACCAACTGCTGGCTGGAGGCTACTCACAACAGACGGCCGAGTGTGTGGAGAGCTATACGGCGCAAGTACAAAGCCGCAAGTGCAAAGGCCATCGGTTCAAAGGCGCGCAAGATTGGCTTGAGGCCTTGGAATGGGACAGCCTCCACGAGAAAGAAGCCGAGGAGCGCAAGGTCTTCTAGTGAGCTGGGTGATGCTGTCACACAGCTGGTGAGCCACTTATTCTTGAAAGACTTCGATGTCGAGCGTTGAGCGGTCAGCTCGCCTCAAGCTAGCGTCGGCCTACGGTTGTCTTGTGTGTTCTTGGAATTGGTGCCTCTGTTGGCCTTCAAGGCCCAGGGGCGCGTTGACCCATCTCCCGGCTTGCTTGTCTGTTGTCTGCTGCTGAGCTGCTGCAGCGGTCGGCTGACATCTCTGAAACTCTTCCCAACTCTTTGTGATTTGTGCGCTTGACTTACTTGCCTCACAGCTCGCGCCGCAGAAATGTGACTCCCTCTCACCCAAGCAGCTGGCGCAGCAACGCTCTTGGTTTGTGTGTGCTTTTCGCGCGCTGTAGTTGTACACCAGTCAGCTGTGCACCTGGTCCAATTCGCGTTGACCCTTGGCATAATACATGCCGCGCACGCCGTGACCTCTAGCAGGCAGGGCTTACCTGCTACGTGGGTTTGAAAGGAAAAGGACGCTTTTTGACTGCGCAGGCTTGCGAAATCTGGTGGCCTGGCACGGGCGCTTTTCAAGACCGCACTCTCGTTGTGGCGCCGTGCACGTTTCCGGCCTGGGTGATTCTTTTTCGTGGCGCGCGCAAGGGAAACCTCGTGCTTTGGTTACCTGTGATCTGATAGGTGGCTCGAGTGGCCAGTTGGCCTATAATCAGTGTCTCAAGCGCTCAAGGGGCTTAAATGCGAATTTGGCCTATGAGAATGAGGGGCTGAAGCGGCTTAAGTCGCAAGCTTGCCCAGGGCCCACTTCCTCTCACGACCCGGCTGGTGCTGGGCAGCGCCCTAATCCGCGCAAGACCTTTTTTGCTAAGTCGCGCGGCAGGCAAGTGGCGGCGCAAGGTGCCGCTGCCAGATGTGTGGCCGTGTGCGCCTTGTGCTTGGGCGCTGGGGCCGCAGCGGCGTGCCGCAGCCAGATGTGTGGCCGGGTGTGCTTTGGTGGTTGGGTGCTTGGTGCAGCGGTGTGCCGCAGCCAGATGTGTGGCCGGGTGTGGTTTGGTGGTCGGGTGCTGGGTGTTGTAGGGTGCCGTTGCTAGATGTGTGGCCGGGTGAGCATTGTTCTGCTGTGGGTGGTTGGCTGGCGGCCCTGAAGCGCACTGGGGGGCTTGGGAACTTAAGAGCGCCAAAATCGAGGGCAAATCCAACCTTATCAAGATGATATATCATATTTGCAGCAGGGCGCGCTGGTGCCAAGCGGCAGCTGCAGGTGGCCGCTGCCAATGTGTGGCCGTGTGTGCTTGGGCACTTGGACGCTGGTGACCCTGCCGGGCTGCAGCCAGATGCGCGGTGATGTGTGGCCGGTTGGCTTCGGTGCTTGGCTGCCAGGTATTTATGTGGCCGTGCATGCTTTGTTTGTCGATGGGTAGTTGGCTAACAGGGACCTGGTGGACAGGGGGGGCGTGGGCAGACATTAAACTTTAAGAACGCCGAAATCAAGCCAATTGCAATCCAATCCCTTAAAAACAATTCTTGCTTTTTCGCGCGCGGGCCACGCAGCGGCTGCCGGGTGCCGCTGGTTATGGGTGGCTTGTGTGCCTTGGAGCTTGGGCGCTGGCGCCGCTGCCAGGTGTTTTGCCGGGTGTGTTTTGCCGCGTGCGCCTTGTTGGGTGGTGGGTGGTTTTCTTGTGGACTTGGGACACGGGGTCCCTAGGAAGAACTCACACTTAAGAGCGCCAAAATCCAAGGCAATTCCACCATAATCAAGTGCAAAACCTTCTTCGCATTAATGCGCGCAGCTGGCGAGCGGCAGCTGCAGGGTGCCGCTGCCGACGTGCGCGCTTTGAAGAGCTTGGATTCTGGTGCCACTGCAGGGTGCCGCTGCCAGATGTGTGGCCGGTGTGCTTTGGGCTGGTGCTGCGGCAGGGCGCCGCTGCCAGATGTGTGGCTGGGTGTGCTTTGGGCTGGTGCTGTGGCAGGGTGCTGCTGCCAGGTGTGTGGCAGTGAAATTTTGAGAGTGCTGAAGTCAAAGGAAAGTTCCCGCGAATCAACTACGAAGCCATTCATTCGCCGCGCACGGCGGGGCTAAAGGCTTTCTCAGCCCTTGGCGCGCTGGGAACAAGACGCTTGATTTGGGCTCCAGAAGCCTGTTTTTGGAAAGGCGCTGGTCAAGATGCAAGAGATTTTTTTTCAGGAAGCGCTGTGAGATGAGCGTTTTTTTAAGCTAGAGCCTAGGGCCAGACCTTTACCGCACAGGTTGGACAAAGAGGGTAGACGGGGCAGAAAGCAAAAAAACGAACCCGACTTTCTTTTTCATCCGCCTTTGGACGGGCGGCAGCGGCCCGGCAGATGGGAGCACACCGTATGTCAGGACTTGCGCGTCCTGACCTGTTCGACATGGATGCTAGAAGGCTGGTGCCCAATCAAAACTCGGGGCCATTGAAAACACAAGGTGTAAATGGTCGGGCATGGATGAAGGTTGTGCCACATCATGCCGCCGCCCTTTTTCATGAACCCCGAAACATTGTTCCAGCCTTCGGTTCTTTCCATTGTTTCGCCGGGCGTGCTTTGAAAACCCTAGCAATTCTTTTCAGGTCAGCCCCAGCAAAGATTGCCGAACATAGAACATAATTGGAACTAGAACATTGTTTATAGGCCAATAGCTGGTGTCGCCCCAGACGCCCTTCTGACAAACAAATCCTGGACTTGTTTTTGTTCTGCTGGGTCGTCGTAGCCGTTTCTATTGTTCGTGGCCAGGCCTTTGGTCACCTTCACTTCGCAGGTGCGGTCGCCGTCGGCGGTTTGCGGAAGAGACGCGGTGATAGGGAAGATTATTGCTTAATTTTTGTGACCCTGGCGTCTTCTAAAACACAAATTTAAAGGCAACCTGGCAACCTTGCATTGTCGGTGGTGAGACCCAGGCGAAAGTGGCTATAGTTTCCCAGTTTTTCTGGGAGGGCTCCATGCAGCTGCGCAGCCACCCGTCCAGGCCAACCGGCCAGGCTTCAGGCAAGGATCTTGCGGCTCAGCAGGGGCAGTTTGGGGTGGCCGAGCTTCTTGGTGTCGCCCAGATCCCTGTCAGATGATAAATCCTCGAATTGCTTTTGCCCAGGGTTGTAGATAAGTGCTTGCGATTGGTCCGCTCGTGCTTCGACCAACTGCTGCGGATTTCGTTTGAAGTTGTCACGGCTTTGCGAAACACCCCTGGTGGGCTTGTGAATGTCGGCGCTGCAGGTGCGATGCAGATTGGTTGTTAGAGATTGAATTCGGAAACAAGGGTTTGGTTGGAACCCTGCCTTACGAATTCAAAACTGATTTTGAATTCGGAGGGGAGGGTTTTGAATTCGGACACCCCGAGCCTGTTTGCACACGAGACTGTCGTTCTAATTCAAAACCCTCCCTTCCGAATTCAAAATCAGTTTTGAATTCGTAAGGGAGGGTTCCAGGGAAACCCTGCAGTCCGAATTGAAAACATTTTTTTGATAGCAAGACAATCTGCAGCGTGACAGCTGGAGCCTTTCTGTCAGGTCTGTCGCTGCAAACCCGTCGCAGCGATGGATGCTGACGACCGGTCATCAGACTCGTCAACCAGCGCTGGCTGCCGCCATGTGAGTTCCAGCAGCGGCAGCAGTGGGAGTTCTTCAAGCTCTGCCCTAACCACCCCTGGAGATGGCGGCCAGCAATGCTCACGCAGCAACCGCTCTAGCTCCAGAGGCGCTAGTAGGTCTCGCTCCAGCTGTTCGAAAGGTGGACACACGCCTTCATCATCGTCTGCTTTCACCTCGCAGAGTAGCTCTTCTTCAGGGGTGCCGCCTGAACCCGAGCCCGACTCTGATCCGGACCTTCCACCTGGAGGTGCATATGATCACAAAAAATGTGATCGAAGGTCGTTGGGCCATTTGATCGCCAAAAAACGATATGAGCGTGAAAAAACAAATGAGCGTGAAAACTTGCTGGCTCTGGAAAAAGAATCGTGTGAGCGTGAAAACTGGGCGGATCCCTGGAAAAAGGAACACGTTAAAACTTTAGAGCTTTAAGTGCTCTTACGCAATGCATGTATATGCCAATACTTTGGCTCAAGGTACCTCATGTGCGTAGAAAAGCCGCTGCTCACATTTGCTCGCACGCTCTTGAACCTGTCAGCCTGTAAGCTAGATCCAGTAGATATACTTTTGTTTTTCACACTCCACGAACCCTTCGCAAACTTTTTTTGCACAACATGTGGACCAAAGTTTGACCAAAGTGGGACACAACCGTTTCTGGATTCTTGGATTCTGAAGCTTTTTCTGGGTGGCCCAAAAAAGGCCTCCAGGTTTGGGCCTCGGTTGTGCCACGTGAGTCTGCACCTGCAAGCTGTGAAGAGCCGTTTTTTCTAGACCGGCGAGCGGCGTGCATTGACCGGCTGAAACTACATGACTACATGGGTGTGATAAGCCTGGGATGCCGTTCCTAAAAGATTTCCCGCTATGGGGGAAGACACCTCATTGTGGCACAGTGGAAACCATAAAGCGTGCGACAACGACAATACATATTTGATTTTCTGGATGACGCAATTTGCCGTGAAGCCATGAACACCCGTGGCTGCTGTGGGTGGGTGGCTCTGGTGATTGCAGCGCCTAGTCAGCTCTAAGTCCTTGAGCCTACTAAGTTGTACTTCAAACCCCAAGAATACTTGAGCAGCCATGATCTCACCCGACGACACGCCCATGAGTCAGCGCTCGGAGTGAAACTTGCTCACGCTGAGGCTGTCAGTTCTGGCCAGCTTTTGATACCCGACATGGTGGGACTGGCGCGCTTTGCTCATTTAGTGTTTGTCACTCCTCAAAACTGGCCAGAGCTGAGGCATAGTTCACACGCACAAGGACGTGAATGTTTCTAGTCACTAAGTTGACCCTCTTACATGCGACCAACCCCCAATTGTTAAAAATGAGCAGGTTTTGATGCCCATGCCATTCCGCAATACTGCATGATATCTGAAGGATACATGTTTTCACGCCCCCGTCTGGCCAGGCGTTCATGAACCTCTCATCGAGTGCGCCGCCTGTGCCGGACGGTTGAAGAAGTCTTGGAAATCAGTGTGTGTGTGTCATGTTCCATGCTCACTTCTCCGCCGTGAGATCTTTTGTGTTAGAGCTTGGGATAGCTTGGGGTCACCTGCCCATTGATCATGGCTTCACACAGCGACGCCGAATCCACTGATGGTGAGCGTGATGTTGGGGAAAAGTATTTGCCCTTTCTCGATGCATACAAGAAGGTAAAGTCTTTGCGCCATGTTTCTTGCTGTGCACAAAAGGTTCTGGTCTGAACTTACTTGATTCTTGGGACAACAAAATGGCGTTGGCCCAAGCTTTTGCGAGCCTAGGTTGGTATGACCTTCGTGCAAGACCATTCAGGAAAGGTGCACACGAGACAAGGGAAGGTCACCACGAAGGACCTGGAAGTCAACAGCCAGGCCAGTGGTCCGAGTCCAGCCCTTCTTTGAAGTTGTTTTACACATAAAGTATGTGGGCTGAGATTTGACATCTCTGGTCCAGGTGTTGTTGGCGACAGTGGCCGGCGCCCGTGGTGTTGCCCGTCTGTCCGCACATGTTCTGAAGGCTGCAATTTTGGCTTTCTATTCGTTATACCGTCTATTCCCAGCAGGGGTGGTTGCCGAACTACCCTCTGTACAAGAATGGGCATTGAAACAAGCAGTTGCGATCAAGAAATTGGTAGCTGCCTCATTCGATGAGCTTGCGCAAGGATAATTTTTTCAATCTTGGAAACGTGAATGAGGCAACCGTCCCCAGTACCATGTGTGTCAACAACTTTTACCGAGGCATCCCGGCTTCGTCGCTTGATGAAGCGTGCGAAAGCGGCCAAATCCAAAGCGGTGTCAGAGCTGAAGGAAGGTGCTAGACAGCGTGGGTGGGCTATTCACCCGCCTAAGAAGGGTGATTGTCGTGCAGAACCACGGGTGGTTTGTCTCAAGAGAGTGTCACAGGTTTTGGTGGGTGCCGCACTTCTGGAAACAATCACTGTGCAATTTGTACCTGACCCTTCGTCAAAACGCTTCCCCAAACCAAAGTTTCCAACCAACACATCGGTTTGCGCCCAGGATGAACGACCGGGCGGTGATCCGGATGGCCTCAAGGAATTGGCCACTCCAGCGTCTACAGCCTCTACAGCCACACCTGGAAGCGAGCTTTCTTCCACTGTTTCATCGGCTCCCTCTGAGAAACTTGAAAGGGTGGTGGCCCAGTTGTCTCGGCTGAAGTTGGATTTCTCTGAGGATGTGGATCAAGAATGCGCGGTGTCCCCAACACCACCATCGTGTGAGAGAACTCCCAAGATTGATGCCATTGTTTCTTCTCTTCGGGAGGCAATGGGTTCCAAACCAAATGTGGCAGCCAAAACTGGCAAGCCTGGCGAGAAGTCCTTTGTGCTCCCCACATGTGTTTCTTGTGAGGGCGGTTGATGGAAGGGACGTGAAACAAAAACATGTGGCAGTGAATGTAAGGAAACAGTGATCACTGGATATATATATATGTATATACTGTATATAGTTGCGTAGAGCTTGGGCAGGCTTGGGTGCACAAACATCGTCATAGCTCCCATGTCATAAAGTGGACAGGGGAGTTTCTGTATGAAACCATTTGTCTTTGTATGTCTTTGTTTTCCTCACATGGGTCTATGTCTAGAGCTGCGCAAGCTTGGGGTTGTCTTGGCGCAACCTCAGGAGTTTTGGACGATCGGATTCTATCACCTTCAAACCTCTCACAAGAGAGATTTTTTTGGAAACCTTTGTCGCGGTTCCTCGGCCCAGGTTTTGGAGTCTCTGCAGAAGAGTTCAGCGGCCCCACCGGCGCCATTTCCTCTTTCTGAGCAGTACGTCGCGAACGTTTTGAATGGCAGGGCTAAGGGCGTTGGTTCCAAAGATGCCGGGAAGTCTGGGCACCCCAATCCTAACCCACCCAGCGATGCCTCTGTAAATGAAGCGGAGCCTTCTGAAGGGGTTATTGAACCCAAAGAGTGGGTATATGGAGGGAAGCGCAAGGCTTTCATTGATCAAAAACGGTTTGCGGGTTTTGACTATGTCCAATGTGTCCATTTGTGGGATGAAAGCCATGAAAAGGCTGAAATCCTTGGGGTGGTGTCAGTGCCAGAGCTGAAGAGAAGGAAGTTCTTGAAGGCTGGTGCTACTGATAATCCCTGGAGCGAAAAGCTCCGGAAATTCCGCGAAGGGTGAAGCCCCTTCACTTGTGGCAGTGCTTTAGGCTAGGGGGACATGCCGATGACCACATGCCATGCCCAGGGAAATTTTGCGGCTTGTGCTTATGATTTTTTTGCCATAGCTTCTTCGTTGTGCTCACGGAGCATGGAGACAACATGCGAGAAACTGTGTAGAAGTGTAGGCTGTTTGGCCCAAGGAAGGTTGGTGTAAGAAGATTTTAGAAGGGAAAATGGTGGTTCTAGACCTTCTCCGCTATCGGGTCCCGGGCCTGATGATTTTAGTGTGCCTACTGACCCTGTGGCACACACAACTTCATCATTCCGTGGAATTTCGGCTGGGATTCAACATGAATTTTCGACCTACTCCAATTAAAGTAGAGGATCGTGACTCTGAGAGGTTAATTGTGTCTGTGTGTGTGTCGCACGTCGATGTACCCAAGGACAGAGACTTCTTGGAGGTCTTTGCGGGCCACTGCGCCATCACCAATGCGTTGCGGGCAGAGTTTTGGCAATCGTTGGTCGCTATAGCTAGAGGGTTCTGAAAGCCCCACCATCTTTTGCCCATCTGCAAAAACCAGAAATGGGAGAAGGCAATTTTGTGAACAAGTCCCCCGTGTGAAAGGGCACAAAAAAGCCTAAGCAGTGAAAGCGCGCTGCGCCCCAAAATGTTCCACAAACTATTCCCAATTTTGGGACACCATGTTTGGGGCGACTCCCCGTGCCCAGTTCGCGATCCCCCACAATGAAAGCCTCAGCTCCATCGCGCGTCTGCCAAGGAGGGCCTACGAGGGGCCGCCATCGACATCGACCACAACGAGCGGTTGTACGACTTGACGACGCCCTCGGGGTTTGTGCTTCTCGAGCTGGATCCGGGAAGGGCGTGAAAAGAATGTCGCGAAAGTCTTCATGAAATTCTTGTTTCTCCTGTGTTCGATGATTTTTTGGGAATGTAACATGGTTGCTTCCGAGTATAAGGTTGACGCTGAATGAAGTCATGCGCATCCGCCCGGGCGGGCTATTGGTTCTGGCCCCGGTTTGCACGTCTATGTCGAGGGTGTTCCTTGAAATGATTGCAGTTCTATGTTTTGCTTTGTGCCTCATGACTCATGACATGTACATGTCGTGAGTGCATCTCGTCGTGCAGGAAATTGCCTGCAATATGTATGAACGGACATGTTGCGTATATCCACACCATATCCAGGTAGGTATTTAATTGTGCTGGTTGGTTTCGCAAAGAGTCTTTGACGTGTCCAAGGTGCCAGCATACTCATGGCCGGACTTGGCTCACACCGTATGGAAACAGGGGCTACAAGTTCGTCGAGATCGGAAATGTTCTATCTTCGAGATGCTTTCTTTTGATATTGATTGCTACATGGCGTGGTGTGAGATGGTTTCTGGAACAACCTGAGGGCTCTTTCTTGCCTAACCTTCCACGTTTCCAGAGTGTGGTGTCGGTCGTAAAGGCAAGGCAGTTGCTCTATTTAGCGTATGGCCATGAAAACACGGACAGTTTACAACACCTAGCTCATAGTATTATGAAAGTTGGTGGCCCTGCAGACCTACACGGCCACTTTCTACATGGGGAAGTTCAATGGCTCGACTCCTAAACCTCACCGCGCTTGGAGCAACGACGAGAAGTTTCTCTCTCGCCTCGTGGAAAGGGCAGGGTCCATGACACGGGAAGAGCAGAGCCGTTGTCCTGGCAAAACGACCCGGAAGTATGTAGACAAAAATGGCATAAAGCGCCATGTAGGTCTTAAAGATGCTCTCAAAGATTCTCAGCACCCTGGTGGTGAGCAAACACCTTTGTTTGGCTGTTGGGATTCGCTTCACTGGGTAACCATTTGCGCCCCCATACTTGTGCGTGACCCAACTTTGGAAAATAGATGACAATAGTAGGGGTTGCAATGTGGTAAAATTGTGTGATTGTTGTTCTAGTCACCGTGCATATATCGCACCTCTCTCTGGTTAGCCAAGGCATTATACTCCTGCTTTTGGCCGCTTTATCTGTGAGACCTTCAAGAATGTGGATGGCTCGGTACTTTGGCGGTTTGTAGAAGGGCCAAGTGGCCCGAAAATGGCAATGCTTGAATGAAAATGAAGTGCCCTTTCTCTATCTTTTGGAAGCCTTTTTGAAAGAGAAAAAGGGCACCCCCAAACTTTGATTCTTGGGTCTGTTGGCTCACGCTGTCTGGTGGAGGTGATTGTTCATATTCCAAGACCACACCCTCCTCAATGTTAACCTTTGGAGGTGGTAGGTCTTCCCACATGCGACACGTGTGCACAAACATCGTTGAGGCACTCCCTGGACCGCTGCCACACGATGGGCCTCAGCTGCCTGCTGATCTTACAGATGTTGAGCTCTTCAAACGCTTCTGCATGCCGGATTCAAACACCGACTTTTGGCATGAGGCCCTGGGATCCACTTCACCAATCAAATAGTTTGCCAAATCAGGAAAACAAATTCACGTCACCCTTAATTGGGGCATCTAGAATTCGTTTGTTAGTATAGTATATGTAAATGTAAACACCCGCTCGTCCTTCCCCCCTCCCCTCCCTTCCCCTCCCCTCCCCTGGTTCACGAACCGATGAACCTTGCCTGTCAAGGCGCGGCTCCAAGAAGTGGCTGGCTACCTGGGAGCTTGCAAGCATGTTCCCGCACGAGGGAACTGGGAGCCTTGAACTGACCCGAAATCTTTTTCACACGTGGTTCTAGTTCAGTTCCCTATCTCCGTTTGGGGCGTGTGGCGCTGTTAGTTCCCATTTGTTCCAGTTTCCCTTCGGGCTTTTCGTTGCAACCAGTTAGGACACTATCTTGCAGGAGCTCGCCCTGCGTTAGATATTGCTTTTTGAATTGGGGTAGCGACTATGAACCGCTACAATTGTGTTGCTGCTGGAATCTTGCGGATTGATGTAGCCCGCAATTTGATTCTTTCACGGCAAGGAACTTCTTTGGGGTGGGGGAGCAATGAATGCACCGTGTGCAGGTTTGGAATGATTTTTCACATAGGTATGCATTCAGTCACATGGCGCAAAAAAAGAGTTAGCGTGAAAAAGCGTGCATTTGGACGTGAAAAAACGCTGAATGTACATGAAAACACCGTGAAGAACGTGAAAATGATATCCGTGTTTTTGGGCAGTCAAACCTGCAGGTCGTTAACTTTCGCTTAGCTGTCTCAGGGTCTTTGTGGAAGTAGACTGTATAGCTAGGGTACTGTGCGAACATGGCACCCAAGCGTTCTACGCAGTTGGCTAAGCTCACAGTGGCGTTGAGAGACCGTGTGAATGAAGGGGGTCAGGCTCTGGAAGAGGCCAAGCGCAAACGTGAGTCTGATGAAAGTGTTGAAAAGCAAGGTGAGGTGAAGAAGCGGGCTAAGTCGGATGTGGGCCCCCCGGACTTTGAGATCTCTTGGTTGAATTTCGAGAAGATGCAGGCACACTTTGACCTGACCGTTGAGGAGTGTGGCCTTGTACTTACTTCGGTGGTAGGCTCTCACCCCGAAGGTGATAAAGTCCAGGAGGACTTGTTGGAGGAGATGCGGTCAAAAGAGAATGAACGGGTGAAGGCAGAACGTCTCGCAAAGGAGCGTGCTGCGCAAGAGCGCGCAGAGCGAGCTGCTGCGAAGAAAGAAAAGAAGGCAGAGAAGGAGAGAGCGAAGGCTGAGCAGGAGAAGGCTGAGAGGGAGAAGGCTGAGAGGGAGAAGGTAGAGAGGGAGAAGGCAGAGGCAGAGACGCAGAGAGAGATGGAGAGGTTCAACATGGAGCTGGACAGGCAAGTTGATGCCCTCATGGCATTGGATTCGGATGAGGAGAAGGAGGCTGAGGCTTCCGAGGTGCAGGCAGTAGAGGAGTCGTGGAATGAAGGCGAGGAGGAAGAGAATGATGATGATGTAGAGACTAGCCTCACGAATGCGCACATCACCGGCACTCTCCTCGACAACGCTGATACACAGCCTCTAGAGGTATCCCCGCCACCTGTCCCATCGATCGCTGCCCCACCAAAAGCTTCATCACCTGTGACTGCGCTGCCTGCCCAACCTGAGGCTCGGAAAACATAAGACTTGTGTGAACCCGCGCGCATTCTTGAAAATGTGTAAGTGTGTGTGGAGGCTCATCGTGCTCCATCTCCTCCCTCACGGCTCCTGTCTCCTGGTGTTTTTAATAGGGTTTGGCTCAATTTGGCAATGGTCCTGGAGTGCAGCGGCATTGCCCGAAACCAGACTGCCTGAGGTCTTGCACTACGCTTCGGTTGGGGCAGGAGGATTTGTCAAGGCAAGCGTCCCAAGCTCCAGCGGCCAGGAGCGATTCCCCTGTATCTACGTAGCTTGTCCCCAATGCGTGTGCAATCTTCTCTTTGTTTATGTTACGGGATTTTTTGAACACGCGCTTCATCGGCGGCATCCTTTGATCTAAGGGTTGGCCCATCAGCCTCGCAAGTGAATGGTTCAGATGCGAAGGTGGCAGCTTTGCTCGAGACAGTGAAGCTTTTGCGCTCAGTTGTGGATGAGCCGTGGGCGAAGCCTGTCCTCAACCACGTGGGCGAAGCCTGTCCTCAACCACCTCCAGGACATCTTCCAGACGCCGACGGAGTCTCCTTCATCTTCTATGGCACCACCCAAGCATGTCCCTGCAAGGAAGCAACCGCCCACTGAGGCGCCCACTGAGTTGTACCAGAAAGAAGAGGAACTACCCATGGCGCCCATTGAGGCAGGTGTGATGTCTAGGCCAGAGATGATTTCCAAGGCGCCTGAAGCACCCAAGGCACCTGAAGCACCCAAGGCACCTGAAGCATCACCTGAAGCACCCAAGGCGCCCGAAGCACCCAAGGAGGCAGCGCCCTCTTCAGTCGTGCCTGCAGCACCCGCTTCAGCAGTGGCCCCTCCCCCTGAAGTGCCTGAAGTGATCAACACCTCAACTCATCGGGCGGCTGCGATGCGCTTGGCTCGCCGGATGGCCAATACGGATGAGGCGGATTTCCCAAACATTGTGAAGATGTGGAACGGCAACCGAAAGGACCATGGCTATTCAAAAAAAGGTAGGTAGGTATGCGCTTTTTTATATGCGCTGTACAACAAATTGGCGAAATCTTTAAAGCATCAAAAGCATTTTTTTTTATGTTGAATTGGTTTCATGCCCCCAGGAGAAACAAGATCTGCTTCGCCAGTGGGTCACGAGCGGAGAGAATTTGAACTCGGTTGAGACCAACCTTGAGGTCTCCCGTACGCAGGAAGGTGAACTCAACCGGGATCATGAGCTTTTGACCATCGCTGAGATGAGATCCCGGAACTACAGTGAGAGCCTAGCCCAAAGCAACAGCACTTTTTTTCATGGACATATGATTCAAACAAAAGCCCTGCTCTACCAGCCCTCCCACAACCAGAAACAATCTTTGCAACGTGTTTTGTACCGTTTCAACACTAAGGGCAAAGATCGAGTCGCTGATCCGCAAGGGTGGTATCCCGGACCCTGACTGCCCCGAAGACGCAGCCTCTATGAGGTTCTGGACTTGGACAGGGGCCAAATATCAGAACCGTGAGAAGACCGCAGTGTCTTGCAAATCATCAGTGGCCCTGAAGACCACAGGTGATCAAGTTGCGTCGTTGTTGGGGAACCCTGGTTCGACGCCCGAACTCGCTTTGACAGAGGGCCCGGCGGCAGCAAGCGGATCGGCAAGGTCTGGTGCACCTCAGCCGTCGCTTCAAGAGTTGGTCAAGCTTGCTGGCGAGTCTACCTCGACTCCTGCCCCCAAACCAAAGGCGAAGACGGCCAAGTCTAAGCCAAAACCCGCTCCAGGTCAAGTGACGCAGTCTACCCCGGAAGAGCATCGGAAGAACTCCCGTGCTTAGTCTTTTATGAGGTGACATTTTCTTCTCTTTTTCATCCCCTTTAGATTTATATATTTTCCTGGTTGCTTCGATATCTTTGCCATTGGAGCAAGCAAGGTGCCCAAGTCAAGAAGGAGCACTCCCTGTGCGCCGTTGGGATGGAGCTACCGCCGGACCATGAGTTGCGGAAATCGTTGGAGCGCCTGAAGACTGTCTTCCAACAGCTTATGGACAGGTTACTTGCCTTCAAACCATATGGTGTTGCACATGGCCCTCCAAAAAATAATAGGGGACACGTAGACCAAGCCTCTGTTGCTTATTGGGGGTCCCCCTCAAGCCGCCCAGGTTGAAAGACTGCGACGAGGCATCACTACCAGCCATTGTGGCCGAATGCACTTCGAAGGCGCATGGCATAGTAAACCCAAAACCTTTCGCCGGAAAACACGTTTAGAACTGACCCGCTGAACAGTTTTGCGCTAAACTTTAAACACCGAAAGCCCTGCAGGTGTCTGAAGCCCGCATGCTCCGAGCACAGGCCCGCGCAGTCGTCTCTGAGTTGAAGAAGGCATCGACGGCATCGACCTGATCCCGCAAGACTCTATATGAGTTGGCTTGGCATTCGATTCGAAGCTTGCTTCCTGGGACTTTTGGAAACTCAACTCTTATATATAAACCACCTTCTGGCATTTCTGCTCTAAAAGGAATATGTTTTACAGGTTCTATGTTCCAGCTTGCTGTGGTTCCTGGGTTGCTGCAACATTTCCATTTAGGCTACGTCGCCACAGTGGCGATATCAGGGGTCAACATGATCACCCTTCCAAGCTAGCACACTCCGTTCATGCAATTAGGTGTGAGTGTGACGAGAAAGCGGTGGATCAAAACACGTGCGTTCTGCTTTAGACTGCAGTTTTTTACATGATGGTCTCCACTGAAGAACCAAACAACATGGCATAGGTACTCCCAGCTCCTCTACAAGCAATCTCCGTGAACGGCTGGACCAAGTGTCCCCTAGATGCAACACAAAGAAGTGATCCAAAACTACCGGGTTGATCTGTGAAACCATGAGGCTCTCCTACAGCATTGGAGCTGGCTATCTTAGCGCTCGGCACGCTAGAGCCTTTGGAGAAGCCTATCATTCCGAAGTTGTTGTGAGTCTTGCTCCAAAGAGTGTAATTCTTTAAAGTATTTTTTTTATCCTCATGATTCCCAGGGAAAAAGGTCTGGTCACCCGTTTCATCTTGGGGCTGCAGCGTGGAGGAATGGCCAATGGCGTGGGGTGCATCAGAAAGCGGTTCGCTGTGGCATGGCTGCCTCGTGTCGCATAGTGGAGCGGGTGCTTCCAATGCAAACAAGCGCCGATGACGACACTATGGTGATGACAAGCTGGCCTTTCTTATTGCCCCATCACTTTGCAGCTTGTCCAAAAGGGCATTCCAGAAAACATATTTTCTTTTTTGTGGGAACATAGGCCTATGTGGCTGAAGTTTTCCCACGCGTGCCACCCCCGTTAATGGCCTACAGGCCAAGTCGATGATTGACGATGGGTTCCTTCACGCCTTGGTGGATGATTTCGGGAAGATGGACAAGTATTGGGAAGGAATGGCTCGGGAATTCCCCTTGCATCCGATGGCAGCGAACCGGAGCCGCTGGAAAAGTACAATCGGGTGTACTTTGTATTGTGGCTTGGATTCGATAGGTGGGTGGTTGCAATCTTTTCTTTTTCCCTCCAATATTGCCATCTACCGGGAAGGTTGGTGGAATTTTGCCCTGAGTTTCAGGTGATGAAATATCGTGCCTCAACGATTCATGGCTCTTTCTGATGTGGGCCACCGACCATGGTCGCTACATGACCAACTCCATGGCATCCCGCTGGCTCATTGCTGTTCTCCCAGCTTCACTATACAAAATGAACGCTGATGGGACCAACCTCACGGTCATGTCGGCTACCCGTGAAATAGTGAACTCTTTCAATGAACTGGCACACCACGGTGTGGACGTGAGAGATGTAGCTTCTTTGGGCGGTGGCCTTGCAGCCGGAGCTGTATTGAAAACATTTTCGATGTTTATATATACAGATAAAAACATAGATGTGAAATTCAGAACCCAGTAAGCCGTAACACAGTATCCCCAAGCTCTAACCAAGGTAGCCAACTTGAAGTTCATGGTGATGGGCTTCCGCGGGGATTGGAAAGCCTATGTCCAAGTTTTTGGGTTTTGCAGGGCACCGAATACGGATGAGGCCAGGGCCCGCGCCAAAAAGTGCCTCCCATAGAAGCGGTCCGGGATGTTCTCGATCATGTCTCACCCTGCCAGGTGTGCTGGCTTTGCGAGGGTTCCAAAGGAGTTCACAACATGGCTACTGCCATCACAGACGTATCAGAAAACGCATATTGGAGGAGAACCTATTTGAACAGTTCACCATGGACCTCAATTCCCCCCTATGCTACGTTACATGGGTTCCGCTTGGAGATGGTGGTGCCAGACCTCCTCCACATGTGGAATCTGGGAATGGCCCGGGATTTGGCCGGGTCGGTGCTTAAGATCATTTGTCGGGAACAGCACGTCTTCAACGGCCCTAACATAGAGGCCAGGCTTAGACAAGCCACAGACTCTTTGAAGACCTTCGCAAGGTCGAATGGGCACTGCTTGAGAATCAAACGCATCACCCGTGCGAAACTTCATTGGGAGACCAGGAAGTATCCAGAATTTATGGCTTCGGGACATGACAGCTATGTGGCTTTGGCTTGGCTGGACGAGTGCCTGAAACCATATCAGCAAAGGTATGGAGATTTGTGCACACTACTGTTCACCAGCAACTGGTGCTTCCGGCTTTTCTACGCAAACACAGGGTGGTTCCTTTCTGAGGGTGAGCGACAGACTGTGAGGGTCTTAGGCCGAATTTTCCTCCAAGTGTATGCTCGCTGCGCTCTCGATGCGGTTCGACAGAGAGATCTGTTGTTCCGCTGGAGGCCCAAGTCTCACATGATTGATCATGTTTTTGAATGTAGAAGGGCCATCAACCCGGCCCGTTACAGCACATGGCTAGACGAGGATTGGTTAAAGAAATTATCAAAAAATCTCCAAATGACTGCCTCGAAAACCGCACAAGTCGGGGTGCTACAGCGGTGGCTCATGGCCTTACCGGAAGCTATCGACAAAGCTGGGCGCGATTGAAAATCTTGGGCTCCAGGCACTCGATTCCGGCGAAGACTCCACCATGTTTTGGAAGTCCATCTAGACCAGGTTCAGTCTTCATGTTGTCGTCGATCGATGTCTCTGTTCTAAGGCGTATGTTTTGGTTTCTATTGCTCTACCTTTTGCCTTTACCTCGATATATAACTATATATACATATGAAAATACGCATTGATAATATGGAAGGCTCAAGCATCAACTCTTGAACCGTGCAGCGCTGAAAGGGCATCGTGCGCTGACATCAAACCCGGTCAAAGGTTGGATTGAAAGAGTTTCCCCTGCTTTTCTTGGAGCCAAGGCACCAAAACCTTTCTTCAACAAAATACGGGTGGCCCCAAGGAATTGTTTGGGTTTGTCATTGCACGGGCGGGTGTGGCAGCGGAGCGCAACGTGAAAAAACCACTATGGCCGTGAAAAAGCGGAATGGCCGTGAAAAATGGTATGGCCGTGAGAATCTGGTATGGCCACAGTTTCAACTTTTCATGGACGCTCATGCTATGGCCTCACTTTATGTGATCGAATGCATCTCCAGGCAAGCTTTGAAACCAAAGAGGCCGACGAAGGCAGTTTCAGTGGCGTAAGCACCTTCTTTGGGAACTTTGCTGCAGCCCAAACTCTCGTCCGGCCCTAAGTCTCGGGCCCTTCTCAAGGCGCCCCTCCTTTTTCTTTGGGTCTTGACGGTGTTGGTTGGACCGGCTGCCGTGTGTTTGTCCTTTC